GAGAGACCTAGTTTCCATTCTTTGGTATTTGTTCTCTGTGCTGGAGGACAGGCAACCCTTATCTACTTGTCAGGAGTCTGTAATGAGAAGTTGTATTGGACAGGAGCAGTTTTTGCTTCTCTTGCTCAAGGTGGGTCACTATCCACTAAAGAGCACAACTGAGCCTGCCTGCATCTGATGCCAGGACATTCTGGGAGGAAACGGTCCCTTTAAGAACTATTTTTATATATTTTCTAAGGAATGAAGACAGAATATTTCCAATTCCAGGAGAATTCTGTGCCTGCATCTGATGCCAGGACATTCTGGGAGAAAATGGTCCCTTTAAGAACTGTTTTTATATATTATCTAAGGAATGAAGACAGAATATTTCCAATTTCAGGAGAATTCTTTACCTGCAGAGTAATATACCCTCTTGAACTTTGCATTGATGGTCCTGGATCATCAACATCCAGGGTGAGTGCATTAGCTTTTTCATGTCTTAAAGAAAAAAGAAACAAAGGAGCATTTCTCCTTCTTTGGTTGCACTAAATATCATCTATCGCTGTGTTTTGTGATGTGCCGCATTACCTGCTGTGCACTCAGCGTACTCTTAGAGCAACTGCTTTCTTTTTTTAACTTGTTAGTGAAAACAGAGGAAAACTTGTTTTCAGGATGCTGATTGTCCTTATGGGCATGTAAAGTGCTGAGCTGGTCAGTCTGTTAAAAGGATTGTGCCTGTTTGTAGAATTAGACTGTTCAGCACCAAAGGAACTTTTTAAGGTCTTCATGGCTCAGGGCAGCCTAGGTGCTTCCGTAGCTGATATGTATGTAAGGCTCCAAGAATAACAATCCTGGAATCAGTTGCCTAAATTTTATCAAGGTCCCATTGAAATTGTAAAGGGTCTGATCCTTAGAAGTATTTAGGTTTCTATTCCTCACATTGATGTTGGCAGGACATTGTCACTGCAGCAGAAGTAAGAATCTGGCCCTGCGAACCACGCTGAAGCGGGCGGAAGCTGCTCCACAGAATTCCAGGAGATACAGTACCCCAAGCACCTGATTGTAGCACAGCTGCTTGGAGACACTTCTCAGTTTGGTGGTTTACTTGTTTTAAGTTTGGGCAATCATATTTAAGCGAGGTTTACAGCTGCTTAATGTCTGGGCTTTTTTTTTTTTAGATTTTAAAAGTATGGAGATTTTTCATTCCTTCAGTGAAACAAGAAAAACGCATTAAACTAATGAATTAAATTTTGATGTTCTTTTGTGACTTAAGTAAAAGCAAACAAACAAACGAACCCGACAAAACAACAATATACCCCAACAACTTCAAAAGCTCATGAGTTGAAACTCGTAATATTAGGACACTAGTGAATTACCTCTTACACTGAAGAAGAAAATAAATTGTGCAAGATCTATTCAACAGGAGGTTTGGACACATGGAAACATGGGATCAGATCTGTAATTAGATGAATATGGGAAAGAAGAGGACAGCAAATCTGTATACAGAAATGCTGTCTCTCTATTTCTGGAAAACTTGCACTTTTTAAGGATTTAATGCATTTAAGATTTTTCAACATAATCCCAACCTGTTGAACATGTCTTTTGAAGTTGTTAAAGATGATATTAAAATAACGTGGAGTGAAAATCCTCCCTGGAAAAAGTTATTTAAATGTGGATATTTTCTTGGTATGAATTGGCAACATTCTGTAACTTACTGTCTCTTAGAGCAAGGAAGAAAATCAGATTACTTATCCAGAGTTAAATTACTGAAAATTTAAATTATATTTTTTTATATTTAAATGATTTTTTAAATTCAAAAGTCTTTAAGTAATTGAAAATAATTTCTACCTACGTATTTTAAGTATCTTTCATTTGTGTTTCTGCATTTAGCGTTAAGGTAACAATAGCTTTCTGCTATCTTGAGCCATCTAAGCTAAACGGTTTGAGTGAAAAAAGTTTTAGTAGTATTTGAAATAACTGTTCATAAAGCCTCTGTTATTCTTAACATTCAAAGTGGTATTTTCCTATCTGAACTCTTTCTTCAGCTTCCCATCTAATATGATTGAAAACAAATTCCTGTATAATTGCACTCTAATTACAAAATTCAGCAGAATATCTTTATGAAAGAGAACTGTAAATAATCTCTTTATACAGGCATTGCTCTGTAACTATTAAAAATATCTTACTATTATAGTACACAAATCTTCAATTTCTTTGTTTAGAAGAAAGAACATCACAGATTATAAAGATTAAATTAGTTCATTTAAATATGAAAGAGATATAGCTCAGTTGAGTTTGCACCAATGAAGAGAAAACAACCCAACAACAAAAAAGACCCAATTCTAACCTGTGTAGAAGTAAACATGTAATCTTGTGTCTAGTGGGTAGAGATATTATCAGAAGATCATTAGAAGACTGGAGATGCAGAGTAAAAGACTTCTTTGCACATGCTATTGCTGTTAGCAGCCATTAGCCCTGTACAATAAATCTCATTTTTGTCGAGTAAAAGACGTCTGCACAGGCTGTATAAACAATTCTGTACATATACTGAAAAGTGACGTCTTGATACTTAATGCTGTGGGCAATGAGAAATTAAAGAGTGAGCTCATTCTGTGCTATGGTAGCCCCAGCTCCTGAAGCAGAGACTTCTTGGGACAACTTCTGTGGTTGCAGTTCTCAGTCTGGAATGCCACCTCTAGAATGACTAGAAGGGCCCTGTCTGGTAGCCCTCTGGACCCTAATCGATGCTTCACAGGTGAAAGCCATGGAGGAAGGAGAGGCATGTGGTGTTTTCCCAACGCATCATAGGAGAAGATTGAGTAACTCTGTACTGCACTTCACTTACATATGACTGAGGAATAAAGAGGAAGAATCTTCAGAGTTCAGGGCTCCTTTATCTCTAGATTTTATGATTGAAATTCCTAAAAACACCAAAAAAAAAAAAGTCTTTGAGGGCGGGTAAAATCAATTATCAAGATCATATCAGTATTTCAGTTTTCATGCTTACATGTCATCTTGCCTGCTTTGCTAATGAAATCCTCTGAATTCAGAGCTGAGTTTTCTGAAAGCCCTTTATAATTATATGGTTTGCAGAGATTTAAGTTTTCTGACCTACATTATTCATAGAAGGAAAGGAAAGAAAAAGAATTTAGTTTCAGGTAATTTCTGTTCTAGGAAGTATTTTCCTATCTTAAAGTAGTTTCTAAATTAATTAAACATAAATTGTAAAACTACATGAACAGTGTTATAAAATTATAAATTGAAAGATTTTGCTAAGAGCAAAATGATTTAATTTAAAAATAAACATTCTTAGTTACTGGAATTGTATATCAGACATATAAAAGGCAAGTTGTAACCAAATCAGTACTCTTATCTTTTTGCAAATATAATTTGCTGCTTAAGAGAAACATGCTATTCGTTGTATTGTGTGATAAGTAAATTTTTTTGCTTTATTCTGCAAAAACTTGATTTTAAACACATTGGCAGTTTCAATTAAGTCTTTAAGATTACACATATAAATGTTTAAGGACATATAGGAATCTCTGTAGTATCTGAGGACAAGTGAGTCAACTGAGATTCTGTTTGATAAAGTATAGTTTTTGTTGTTGTGAAAAATGTTTGTTTCCTAGCAGCTTGATTTATTATAGTTGTGCGTTGTATGTATTAAAACCTTTTCTCTAGCCGTTGTTCTCAGGCAAATATTTGCCAGGTTTTGTGTCAAAACTGTATGATCTGAACTTCATTTTCTGAAAATAGAAAATATATTTCTTTTCAAAAGGGCTTGATTAAATTAGTGTGAAATGCTAGAGACATAGATGTCAATGTAAGACAAAAGGAAGAGAAATAGGTGCTTTGGAAGAAAGTTTATATTTAAATCCTTTTCACATCCACTTAGAAATTAAATTTTGATTTGAGTATGAATTCCCTATTTGATTGTGTAAAAAATGTTTGTCTAGGTATAAAATAAAGCACAGAGGAAATCCTATAACAAATCAAGCATGTTCTTTTTTCCAGATAGAAAAGAAATTAACTCCATCGATCAATACTTTTTGATAGGATGACATAAAATAGGAAGATTAATGACAAGATTATAATAAGTGCCTATATTCAGAATGCTCATGATCCAAGATAAGTCTGCTGAGTAGCCACCTAATTTGGAAGTGCTTCAGCTGTTCTTTATTGACTGAAAGTTCCCTAGGACCTGCAACTCAGCTCTGCAGGTGAATAGGAGAGACCTGGTTTGAAGAATTACATTCAAACCTCATTAAAGTCTTGTGACAGGAACATAGAGGAATGGCCTGTTCTCCAGAAGAGACTGATGTGTTGGACATGCTCTAGTCATGGCTAAGTGCGTACTTGCCAGTGCCAGTTTCACAAAATGTACCTGTAGCCCCATTGGTGTTACATGGGAGGGAGGTCCTAGAGCCAGTGGTGCATATCGTAGCAACTTTCTGAATGAAAGGGAATACCAGGGTGGTAGGGCAAGGCCATGCACCATAACCTACAGAGTCTACTTAGATATCTCTTCTCTTGCCTCTGTGCCACATACATCAAGATATCCAAAGCTGGTGGAAGAACAAACATGACTTCGTAGCCTAAGAGCTGGAAACATGCATAGCCATGATTTTATGTTTTCATTCTTCCTTTAATGCTTATGATGAGCACAATGCTTACATGAAAACAGCAGTATATGTATTGGAAACAGGCTGCTATAGCATGTTCTTGTGAGATGACGATATCCATCTGTCTCCTGCATGTACACGGATGGCTGAGCTCAGGTATTTGTCAGTGATGACATGAATGAATGAACAAGACATGAGATGTTTGACATCCGATCAGTAATGCTCAGTAGGAGAGAGCTCACACAGAAGTTTCAGATATGTATGGTTGATGTTACGTCATAATACAGAAACTTATTCCCATAATCATAGAGTCCATTTTGGGTGAGGCCACAGATTCTTTTGGTTTTCTTATTACTTTGAGATTTTTAGTAAAGTGATGAAATACACTTCTCTTTTCAGTGTTCAGTTTCCTGTGGAAAGGGTTTGAAGTTTCGTGATGTGCATTGTTTTAATAGCTTCCAAGCTAAAATAGAGGAAGGAAACTGCAGACATTTAAAAAAACCACGGATGTACAAAGTATGTAGAGCTGGAAGATGTCCTGCTTGGAAGGCCAGCAGATGGAAAGAGGTATGTAAAATCTGCTACAATTATGTTCTCTAAGAGAGTACAAGACAAGATCATATTCGTGACACTCCAATTGAAGTAATGGTCAGGAAGCTTTTTTTATATGGACTTCACAATTAAATCTACAAAATAGCAAGTAGTTCATTGTGGTTCATTATTCTTTCTTTTAAAAGTGATTAGAAGTAAATATCTGTGAAAACTGAAAGTATTTGGTAATCTGAATCTTGTACTGTAAATTTTTAAAGTTTACTTCTTACCTCCAGTGATGAATTCAGTAGTACCACTGTAATTGCTATGGTAGTCTGAATATTGAAGTGAAACCAGGTTTGTGAGGGAAGGACAAGAAAAAGAGGTGGTGGGCACAAATACCGGCCTTTTCCCTGGTTTGGTCTTGTGAAAGGTCTCTCACCTTGTTGTGAAATTGTGTGTAACCGAGCAGTAGCTTGCATTTATCTCACTCTTTCAAAATATAATTCTCCTCATTAATAATAACACATTACTGCTCTCCACCATCTGACTGCACTTGATAGACCAACGTCTACCCCACAACTAGGCTTGAGTCTTCCGGTAGACTTTGGGAACTAATTGTGCTTCTGACTGGGGTGAAAGAGGGCTGTCTGTCACAGCAAGCCTTAGTGTGGTAGTGAAACACCTTTGGCCAGGAAGGAGGAAAGGAGGCATGTGGCAGGAAGGATTTGGACCTTTTTAAGCTACTCAGGATTCAGAACCTTTAGTACTACCTGCAAAAGAAAAAGAAGTATCCTCAAAATACTACACCATTTGCAAGATTTTTCTAACCTTGAATACTGAGATATTGTTCTTTCATTTTAATATTTGCATTTTAAAACAACAGACCAGACTGTTAGTCTGTAATAAAGGAATGATGTATATTCAGAATTTAAACTGTTTAATCTTGCAAAAATGTAAACTTCTGCTTTGCGTCTTCCTATAGTGATTGTTTCTACTGCGAATTAAGATACGCAGAAAGATCAGTCTGGGTACCTCAGATTCATTTTCTGTATTTCTTACAAATTTTGATTTTAACTGTAGTTTGCATTTTCATCATAATTTTTTTTCAGATACAGTGAAACACTAGTATGGTAGGGGCAGTGAAGGATATTTTAAATAATATCCTAAGAACGTGTAATAACGGCAACTATACCACCTTCCGGGGACTGTCTCATTTCACACTGACATGACTAATTTTGATCAATCTTTAGTGTTCTGTATCCTGTGGAGTGGGGATTCAGCAAAGGGACGTCTACTGTCAGGTGAAGGGCCTGGGTCAAGTGAGTGAAGCAATGTGTAATCATGGTACCCGACCTGCTAGCAAGAGGCATTGCTGGCTGCCTGCCTGCATGCGGTACCAGTGGCTGGCAGATGAATGGGAAGATGTAAGTAGAGCTTTCAACTTGTGTGATGTCACTGACTGATGTCATGACCGTTTGGGTTGGGTTTTTTTTCCACATTTAGATACATTTGTAATGGCTATTAGTTTGCAGAATAACAAGTGACCAGGCTGGATGTTCTGAAGGTCAAGTTTGTGAAATTAAAGAAAGTGACAAAAAAAAGTCAAAGGCTTAGTTTACTCTCTTATACAGGACTTGCTGGTCTACTGTTGTAAACAAAAGCTCTGATGGAGATGTGAGCAGGTCCCTATTGATAGAACTGTATAATTTGAATGCAAAGTTCTTTACATATTACCTAAAATGTTTAATAAAATCTCATTATGAAATGTCATTTTTAAAATCACTTTTTAAGAATAGAAATACAGATGAAAAGTCAGCTGGAGATAAAAACCTCAGAGGCAAAACTTTTGGACAACAGGGTTTTTTTAAGATGATCTGTATGGAAGACTTAACAGGAAAGATAAGAAGCAAAATAAAACTTAATATTCTCCTACCAAATATACATTTTCATATTAAAGAAAATCTAAATATGCCCTCAGGAGAGAACTGTCATTTTTAAAGATGTGATGACTACTTTCTACATGCTAGAAATCTAATAACTTTTGTATCCATATATGCAAACATACAAACATATATAAAGAGAGAGAGAAGCCCCAGAATTATATATAATACCTGAAATGGTGTACAGAAGAGTCTTTCTTACTGTAACATTAAACAAAACCCCAGTTTTTGCAGTTGTGGCATCTTAATAATCTCCACTGCTAAATTTCCTAGGGCAAACCTCCTGAAACTTTGAACCTGAAGACCATGAGAGTCACAATGCTGTAGAAGTGACTGCTGTTAGTATATCATAGAATCATTTGTTCCTCCTCTGCAAAACCTGGATGATATTCATGCAGTTCAGACCTATATATTCCTCTGTTAAGCTGTATTGAGGGAAAGCTGACAATGTATGTTTTTACCGAGTGTTCATTACTCATATGAAGCTGTTAAAATCAGGAATTAACAGAAGTGGCTCACAATGTCCTTTTAGCACAAATATACACTTTCAGAGAATGCAAGTGAATTTTCCTGTCCCATCAAACATTTGTGTATTCTAGCTGGGTATTCGGAGCTCTCCACTCCAAGTGCATTGTGTTTCATTACATCTTCTGGCTAGTTCATAACTTCTTCCACATGGATATTGCAGTTCACTTGAATTTCCTGTGTTCAATTCCCTTCTCTCACCACATTCATATACAGCCCTCTACATCTAGTATTAATGTACAAGTTCAAGTGCTTATCCATCTGTATTCCACTCGCGGTGCGGTACATCCTCCACCAAATTCACAATGTTTTGCCCAGCTGTCTCAGCTCTGAGTGCTTGTGTGTCACTTCCTCGCCTCAACAGTCACAGCACAGCAGAAAAATTTCCAGATCTAGCACTTCTCCAGCTTGCAGCTGGGAGGCTGGCTGACGGCAGCGGCCAGCATTCTCCTACCAAATACACATTTTCATACTACGAGAAGAATATCTACAAGACTAATGTATAAAGCATAACAAAAAGGATTCTTCTGCCTGTCCCCATTACCTCATGACTGGATTATTTGTTATGTGCCTAATATTCTGAGCTGCTTCATGCCATTAAAAGATCAGGTGTTTCTGTAAGTTACACCAGTCAACTGGATCCATGCTCCATTTTCTGATACAAGTCCACAGAAAAGAAGTTACCAAGAGGACGGAGCCAGGCTCTCCACAGTGCCATATGGTGAGAAGGCAAGAGGCAACAGGAGTAAGGTGAAGCCAGAAAGGTTCAAACTGCACATTACGAAAAATGTTTTCTCCATGAGAGCAATTCAGGCAGTTCAATGGGCTGCACAGGGAATTGGTGCAGTCTCCATCCTTTGAGATTTTCAAGACCTGACTTGATAAAGTTTTCCTCTGGCAGAGCTGTTTCGCCTTACGACGTCTGGGTTTTGTACTTCAAATTGCCTCGTTGAGTCAATAATAATGAAAGTTGAACAATAGGGTTGATCTATGTATGAGACCTTGATGAGTCCTCTGACTGTTGTTGGGTCTAAATAGCATTAAGTTAGGTTTGGGACTGACTGTAGTAGGTGGTGTTATCAGTTACTGCCTCTGCTGAGACTGGGCTTTGTGCATTTGAGCCTTCCTTCTTTTTCACAACAAGTTCAAATAGGTTAGTTGAGGCACCTGTAGCTGGGGACGTCCTGTTGACATTTATTACGTAGCCTGTATCTCTACTTTTCTGGATTCTGGTGGCAGCAAGGTTCTCATCCTGTCCTGGCAGAGCTGCGACAACTCTTCAACCCACCAACTTGCCATGGGGAGAGGTCTGGGAACACTGAGGGCAAAGGCACAGGCTCAACAGATACTGCTGCCCAAAGCTGCCACTGACTTCATTAATAAGAAATTTTGTTTTCTTTTATCACTGTAATATCATGTACGTATCCCCAGGGATTCTTTTTGTTTTGTTTTCAAGACCGACTTATTCCTTTCGTCTTTCACTGAGCCTTTTTTGGCTCTTCCCTTTTCATACAGAAGAGCTTTTTCACTCAACCTGTCATCTTGGCCTGACATTTTAATTTTCTCCTCCATCTCACCCCACAGTTAGCATCATGTCATTATACACTATTGGTATTTTGCAGCTGATTGGAGGTACCTGAACTTCGAAAACAAAACAAAGGATTTTGATTCAGTGAGTAATTCAGTCCAACACTGATAACAGATGTCATAAAAGTTGTTGCTGTCTGGGTTTTATTTGAGGTGTGTGGCAATTGGCAAATAACATCGTTCTGTAAATGGCTAGTTTAAGTGCAAAACCCGTGATTGTTTTTCCCACCCTCAGTGCTCAACATCATATAGAAAAACAAAGGAAATATACCGGAAGGTTAAGTGTGTGGATGAAAACCAGCTCCACGTAGAGGAAAGCTTTTGTGATCCTGCCACAAAGCCTCCATCAACCAAAAACTGCAGGACAGGTCCCTCTAAATACGTTGTGCTTACAGGAGAGCTGTCACAGGTAAACTAATTATACTGCTTGCACATTTTTATATAATTTTACATTAAAGAGTGTCATTGCTGTAACACGTGCATTACATTTGCATAGCAAAAAACGTGTATTTTCATCTGAATGTAGATGCCTAAACTTTCTGCACGTTGAATCTTCCAATCAGCCATGATTTATTATAGTGACTGTGTTATCAGCCTTCTGGTAGCTCCCTGGGACTTATGAACATCAGCTAGAGGAGAGCTGCCCCTACCACAGGATTCCTTTGTGATTCCCAGGAAACTCTCTTGTGAGCTGATCTCACTGAAGTAAACAAAAGTGTTTTCCTTGATTGCAGCAAAGTGATGGGTCAGTGCCTTGTTTCCCTTGCACATCTGCACTACTGATGTGTGCGTGTCTGTGTGTGTACTGCAGCTGGGAGCCAACTGCTCTGGAACCTCTGCGAGCTCTGAGAAAAGGGCGGCATGGGGCTTCCCATCTCCTTGCATGCATAACTGTTGTAGACCTTCACTTCTGATGTACCAGCACGGAGGTGCCACACGTGGAGTTATTGGCTTTTGCCAAAGTGAAGATCACAGCTGACTTATCTGTAACTGCAATGCTGCCAAAAGATTGTTTCACAGAAATAATGCCTGTGCTTGGGGATTTTATTTCAGTGCTCAGCCAGTTGCGAGTTTGGCTACCAGCAGAGGATGACATACTGTGTTGGAATCCATTCTGTTCAAAATCATCATGCCCATGGCCTTCGAACCGTAACATACCAAGAGTGCCCAGTAGAGCCATCCCCATACATTTATAAATGTAATATCAAAGGATGTTCACAAGCAGCTACCTGGAGAGTGGGGAAGTGGAACAAGGTGAGTATAGATGCACAAGCTGATTTTTGATAGCTGCCTCAAACACAAATGAATGCCAACACTGATTTGCTGACATAATTTTGTTAATTATTTGCTACCTTCTAAACTAACTCTTGATGGTGATCCATGTCTAGTGCTCAGTGTCTTGTGGAGTGGGAGTAAAGGAAAGAACTGTAGAATGTATCACTGAGAATGGCTTATCCAGTGACTTGTGCCTGCCACGTTTAAAACCAGATGCCAGAAAGATCTGCCATGAGGAAGAATGTAAGTGACAGCTGTAATTTTCAGTTGGATTTAATATTTTCCCAGGTTATTTATATAAAAGTTATATTTGGAGCCCAATTATACAAAAGTGAGTCCTGAAACCAAGCTCTATTCATGAAATATTAATACAATTTAATAATTCATTTTGAAGGTGAAATTCTTACCACCTGCAAAGATATCCAGATTAGAAAAGGGATTATAAAGGATGGTGAATACCTACTAAACATTAAGGGAAGGATGATAAAGGTACTTTTAATATTTGAGTTTTTATGAGCATATATTTTTATGTAATAATACTGTTTTAATAAAGATTTTGCTAAACGATTGTATTTTCTCTTCCAGATTTATTGTTCAGGCATGCACTCAGAGAATCCCAAAGAATATTTGACATTGGTAAAAGGTGAAACAGACAACTTCTCTGAAGTATATGGTTTCAGGTATAAAAATGATTTTGTAACTTTTTGAAGTGCATTTATTTCTTCCAAAATAAAAAAATAAAATAATACTTACTTTTTGTGAGAACAGATGAGTGGAGTTTTTTCCCTTGATTTTATGATTTGAATATCCAGGCATATGAACACACATGCAGAAATATGGATATGTCCACATTGAAATAGTGTTAATTGCACTAAATGATTATAAAAATTTTCTTCTTGATTTTAGTAGAAAATAGTGTTTCAGCTGAGCCAAGATTAATAGCTGAGCTTCTTGTTCAGTAACTGTTGTTTAATATTTTAATGTGGCGTCGAGCAATACAAGTATTTTTCGCCACGATGTTATTTTATGGAAAAATGTCTGAAGGAAAACTAAATCTTTGTTATTCTCTAGGCTGCAGAATCCATATGAATGCCCTTTCAATGGAAGCAGAAGGCAAGACTGTGCCTGTCGAAATGATTACCTTGCAGCTGGCTTCACAGTTTTTAGCAAAATAAGATTTGATGTAGCCTCCATGCAAATTAAAAGTAAGCATTTTGGCAGCTTTAGCCAATGTGAGTGTTCTATTGAAATTGCACATGGTTGTGATTACCAACTACCGTTTCGACCCACTTATGGATCCAATTATGCCATTTTCGGGCAATCAAAATTCTTATTTTCTTTAGGAATTCAATGGCAACTTCAAAGAAAAAAAAATGAGAAACCACCACTGCTTCCCTTGTCAGTTTGTCCCAAGTGGTCAAGTCTCATGAATCTTACCAATTCATATTTTATATGTGAACTAGCTTCAATTTCTAAGGTTTTGTTCCTATTATTCCATTTCCTTTTAGTACCTGGCATATTTTTCTTGGGAAAGTCTTCCTATGCTGTAGTTAGTCCCTTCTCAGACCTTGGCAGATGTACTAAATGGACAGGGAACCTTGCAGGACTTTCAAGCCTCTGCCTGAAGATGACAAGGTGGTCCACAACCAGCTCACTTGGAGCTGCGTCCAAGTGAACATCCATTGTCCTCCTATACCGCTCCTATCTCGGAAAGGAAACTAGGCTTGTAGGTTGGATTGATGTCGTATTAACCAAAATGGACCACTTAAAACATAGTTTGCACAAAACCCAAACAGACAAACAAACAAAAACCCCACAAAACTCAAAAGTAACCTTAAACCGAAACACAAAAAAACACCCCAAACAAAAAACACCACCCCCCCCCCCCCCCTGTTCATGACTTTACACTGTTTTCACCTGACCTTCTAATGCAGCAATTTCAGAGTTGAGTATTTTTCTCTCTTCTAGCCACAGATTTTCTTTTTGCTCAGACTATACTTGGGAGAGCAGTTCCATTTGCTACAGCTGGAGATTGCTACAGTGCTGCCAGATGTCCACAGGTATGTATGATTCCTTATGCCTTTGAAATGTGCGTGTAAGAAGGGGGAAAAAAAAAATCCATTTGTTGGTTCGCATCACGGAGCAGTCCTGAAAGACTCCTGATGAAACTAAATCAAACGACGAGCTCCAGAAGAGCCTTAATGCACTCCAACTGCTAATGAGGATTCAGTCTATGGGACTAGATGACAGGTAGTCCAAAGTAAAACCTCAATCTGTGCACTGTATACAGGCATTGGGCTCTCCAGCCCAATTTTCTTACACTACAGATCTGCTCATGATGCAGTGTCCTTCTTGCTAATGCAGACATAGCCCTAGTCTGAACTAGTCAACCTAGGCTGCCATTGGAGTCCTTTGGCAGAAATGAGATTCCCTGGAAAACAGTTCAGCTAATCTTACCCTATTAGACACCTTAGGATGAGGTCAACCATCCTCTGGAAGTGCATATTTCTTTTCACTGATTATAAAGGGAGTTAAGATTGACTACCTCAGACTTACTTGGAGGTGAATCCCTTTTGTCCACCTATCCTAGGTGCTTAAATTTAAGACAGGCTGTGTGAGTAGATTAATTCAAGGGTAGCTAGAGATGATTTATGTACAATTCAGGCACAAATGACTTAACCTCTGACAAGAAAACAGTTGGAGTTCATTACAGCATTGGATATCTTCAACCTGCAAACTCTTTGGGTTTAGTACAATACACATCTATTTGCCATCTGTAGCTTCTGTTGGGAGTCATTCTGCTTACATAGTTTTACACATTTCCATCTATAAGATCTGCACTGAACCTAACACTTCTAATGCAGTAGAAAGGTCTCAGTTCCTGCACTCTCAGTCCTTGAAATCTGTTCCTGGCCTTGAATATGCTGCACGACATGACAGAGAGCTGTTGAGCTGTCATTATAATTGTACATAGTACTTCTAATTTATTTTTGCAAAATGATATCACTGTGAATGAAGTCACTTTGGGCCTGTTAATTTTGGAAAATGTTCCACACCGTTTGTATCAATTTCCTCTAGATGCTTTATTCATTAAATTAAAATCTTCCACTTTTGGGACACTTGAAGAACAATTTGTTTTAGTTCAGCCCGAACATATGAGTGCTATAAACACAACAACTTTACATAGAAGTGCTCTCAAAACAAACCTGCCATACTGAATGATACGACTCAATTTTTATGAAGGAATTTCAGTGAATCACAAGAATAGAGATGGAATGCTGTATTTTCATACATGCACACATTTATATACCTGCACAAATATTTATTTTTATATGTATATATGACTATGACAATATTAAGCAATAAAACATAGAAGCTATGATATGTAATAGAAATGCTATCTTTGCTAAAGCTTTGATCTCAGGATTTAGACAATTTTAACTAGGTCTGAATTCAAGCCTTCAGTGAATTGTATGGAGGTATGCAGGAGGTTTCTGATTGTAGTGCTGCCTAAACTGACTGTTAGGCTCTTTGTGGAGGTAGTGGTTCGTTCCAACATATATTGCAGTTCTATGTGAATGCAATTTAATCATTTTATATACCCCAGTTTGTTTACCAAGGCCATGCAGTTTGTTGTTTTTAATACATTTCTTGTTCTTATATGAACTGACTCTTTTTTAAAGCTAGTTTTCGGAGTGTGTATTTGCGTAGGCAAATATTTTAGAATCAGTCAACTGTTTTGAATGGTTTGTATGGCAAAACATTCAATTTAGCTATAAATTTATTTATTTTAACCTCCACTTATGTTCATGTTCAATTATGTTATCTGTTATACAGAAAAAGAAGTGGAAGATGATAAGATGATGATGATTGAACAATACGCTTGCAGAAATTTGAGAATTAGATGTCTAAGAACTGATTAGTCTGTAATTTCCAGATAGCAGTAGGTCCTGACCATGTCATTTCCAAAAAGTTCAGGCACTTAAAAAAAAAAAAGTCTTTCAAGAAAGCCAACCTCATTCTTGTATGTTGCAAGTCCATACTGTTTTAAATTAAAATTTAGTACGTAGCAAGGAGGCTAAAATAATTTGAATTGTCTGATGTTAGTTCTGTATTCAGACTCTGTAGACAGATAAGCTGACACAGAGGTCCTACTTACAGCAGAATAACATGTTTGTGTGTTTATGTCCTGAGTGTCCACAAAGAGAATATAGTGCAATGTAACTAACCCAGTTACGTACACACCCTGGAGTACTTAATGTCAGGTATAACTTAAGTGATATGTGCAGACATGCCAATGTAAAGTGTTCTAGCATTTCAAACTCTGCTTATCAGCTCTGTATTTTACCTTCTGATTTTTTTTTCCTGCTTTTCTCTTTTTTTTTTTTGCCTTGTTTTGTTTTGTTTTGTTAGGGACAGTTCAGCATTAATTTGGCTGGTACAGGTCTGAGATTATCCAGTACAGTTAGGTGGATTGCTCAGGGCAACTACGCAACTTCTGACATACACAAGTCTCACGTAAGTCGATGTTGTTTTTCTTTACCTGCTCTCACAGCTTGGAATATTGTGCTTCCAGAAGTGCAAGTGATGACTCTGGTGAAAGCTAGTTGTGAATCAAAAATAGTGCTCAAGGTGTCTGACCCATCTAAGTCGTCTTCTAGATGTAATGTGAACACTAGGCCTGCTAATTTACTCTTAAAGATCTCGCAGCATGTTTAATGACACCAGAATATGATCCAGATCAACAATGCCTGCCTACCCTTCTCTTACTGATTTATTAAGAGCCCGTTGTCATATTAATCAGGTTTGTTAAAAGTTTTGAAGGTATCTAATAATACTTTAAAAAAAGAAAAGCCACAACATCCAAGAAACCCATTTTATTAAAGATACTCTGTTACAGAGGATCCTTACAAATTTCTTGCCTCCAACTTGATTCATATGGGAAACCGAAAGACCAGTTGAACAAGAACAGTAAACATGCACAGTTTAAGACAACATTGGATGGTAAGCTGGGAAAGAAGGTGTACGGCGATACTGATAAAGGGGCTCTGTGCCCGTTTTGCTGATTTTATGTCGTCTCTTGATTTAGTATTTGAAGGTATGATTTGTCAAAGGGTCTATTGTGTGCAAACCTCAAGGAGCTTTTTGTATAACTGGGATTTCAAGTGCTTTTCTTGATTGACCGTTCTCTCTGTCTAATTCCCAGGATGGTACTAAAATATATGGAAGATGTGGAGGATTTTGTGGAAAATGTATTCCTAACACAGTTATTGGTCTCCAACTTCAAATACAGTGAGAACTCTGATGTGGTAAGAACATCAAAGCAGGGACATACGCCATTTAGGTGCAAATTGTAGGTGCTGTGTATATATATATTTAATTCTTTCATCTCTGTAAAGCTCGTTACTGTAATGCTCACTACTAAGAATTCCTGTTTTCTTCAGTATTTGTTCAGGGGTGTTTTACCTGTTTGTGGGCTAGCAAGTGCATAAATCACAATTATAAACCTTCAGATTTTAACAGAGCGCCGTTCATTCAATGTACAGTATATATTAGCGAGTAAATTACACTGAGGTTACTACTATGGGTGACACCCTAAATTGTACCATAATTGTAATGCATTACCTGCAACTAATCAGTGCGATTCTTTATGCCGTATTTGCTAAAATTTATAATCTACTGCTTTTCTCAATCAACTGTACTAAAATATAGAAAGGAAAGTGTGGTTTCTATATAGAGAAGACAGGTCATATTTTAAAATACTTCCAATTTTGCGAAACATTTTAGGAATTATCTGTCAATAATTTACAGAAAAAGTATATAACATACTTGAGATAGTTTCTATAAATCTGTGTGTTTCTCTGTCAGTAAAAGCCTTTTTCCCCCATCCTTTTCATCATATTCTTTGTGGTGCTCAACTCCTAGCAGTAATCCTGAGAAGTGTGGTTTAACCTCTGTAGTCTCTATAGCACATGTTAAACATCTAGGCTTAATTTTGTTGTGGTTACAGGAAAAGAAAATAAGGAAACAAATTGCTTGGAAATCTGATTTTCAGTCCCTGACTCTCATCCAAGTATGCTGTAAAAGCAGTGTATTCTGTTTACCATAGCATCTTGTATGTGACTGTTCGAATATGTATTTACTTAAACATTTTCCATATACACCTTACTCCTTTCTCTGGCCAATGGCATATTAGTAAAGGCTGTGGTGTGTTTCCCTCATATTCCAATTCAGCAGAGTTTTCAGTAACCTTGGTGAAAACTCTGAGCAGAGGCAGCATCAAACCCCAGTGTGTTTGGTGTCCATCTTTGACTCAGTTACATTTTTCAGTGGTTGTAAATACAGTTCTAACATCTGCTAGTTGAAATTATTTCTTCCAGAAAAGTTTATGTATGAAAGAGTTGTAAGGCTTAAAACTGATCTAGCTCTTTGATTTGATTGTTTGTATTACTTTACAGTCAAGAACTGTAGAAGTATATGCATATAAAGACAGTGCATTTCAGGGCCAAGTCTCAGGTATTCAGAATAAAATTTTCTATGTGCATAATAACACATGCTATATAGCAGATAGCTATAGATACTTTTTCTGACAATATGCATTCTGTAAACCAAATGTCTATTGCGCATCCCAATAAAATTGATAGATCAAATGGCAGCTATATCATATTTTTACCCACAAAGAGTAAGCCATGAATTAGCAATATGTATTGATTAAAAACAGTACTGTACCACAGAAGTGTAAGCAGCTACTTTTTGGATAACACATGTAGGTAATTATTTTGTGATCTCTGCATCAGAAATGTATTTTTGCACTGTGTGCCTTATATTAGTTGTAAACATTAATAAGAATACAAAACATTATTTTCCTAGAAATGTTTACATTTATAATTAAAATCTTGTAATTTATAAAATATTTATATAATAAATATGCTTGTGTGAATGGTACCAGAGTACTTTTGGGGTTTTTTTTAATCAATTGCTTAGTACAAAATTTTGCAAAACCATTTTAACTTGTTTATGCTACATTCTTAATAGCTATTCACAATAATATACATAGACTTGTACTGGAATAACCGCCACACAAGTAGATTATAGTTATATGAGTATTTCCCATGGGAGCAAATCGTGCTTCAGAGGTACAAGCTCCATATCTGCATGCTCTATCCAGCCACCCCTCCATGTTCTACTATATCTTTCTTCAGAGGTTGCCCTGCAAACTGTTCACTGAAATAATGTAGAAATCTGAAATAATCTTCCTCCTCCCTGTGCTGAATTCAGATCAATTCCCTCAACTACTGCTTTGGCAGAAGCAGAACTGCAGTCCATCTCCATCCCCAGGAGGACCATTTTCTTTTCAGCCCTGAAGTTCCAGTTAAGGGCTACGAAACGCTTAGCTCCCCTGCCACAGAATCATTCTGAAAATCCACTACCAAATGACATGACTTTTAATCCAATATTCAACACAGCATGTTTTTATTAGGTAATATTAGTGATGTTTGAGTAAAAATGTATTTTCTATAATTAGAGCAAACCCTGTGGCCCAAAGTTAACTTCTGCATAAAACAGCACTGCATTGTATTGTATTTTTTTATATCTTTTCTTTCTTTTAGCCTTGCTTTGGAGTTTGATTTTTTGTAGGGAAAAAGTACTTGTGTGTTCTGACATTTTGTGAATTCTTTGTGTTAGGGTTTTGTTTTCATTGGAAAAAAGGGCTTTATCATCCCATTTCAACTTACTAACTTTTCATCTCAAGGGCAATTTACGGAAAATATGACCTGATGATCAGCTCTGATGAGTTTGGAGAAGTGATGCTGCTGATATGTTTCATGCAATAAAATGAGACTCATGGGTTATACTTGCAGTATGATGTTTCTATCTATCTCCTTTAATTGACATTGCTGTGGATTTCCATCGCACTGGGCAGCCAAGATGTGTGCCAGATCAGCAAGGTGCTCTGTGAGAGTGCTCCAAGTTCCACCTCTTAGATCTGCATGTGCCAAGCTGCCCATGGCTGGTCACAATCACACAGCTCTCCAGCTTTGGTCAATGCTTAGGAAATGAAACACTCAACTTCCTGTCACTATTCCATAGAAGAAAAAAAATAATAATTATGGAATGGTAATAGTTAAAGATGATTGTAACAATACTTCCTGTTACACATCTTCCAGGACATTTTCAATCCCATCAATGATTGATAGCATCAAATATTAGGTGACACAACTGCACTTGCTTGCTTGTGTGTATGCACACATACACACAGTGTGTTTATCTGAATATTGAATGCCAAAGATGGCATTTACATAGATGTAAAAAAACCTATTGCTCATGTTTATCTAACGAAATGTCACTCGGCTTGCTATGAAATGGTCTACTGCCATGTAACAGTATCTGTGGCATCACTTGATGAAGACATCATCTAGGTGTCTTTTACCTGTATTTCTCCTAAGGCGATATGGGGGAGGCATCAGAGGAGCTGGAATCTCTGGCTCTGGGTCCACTAACAGGTCTCCATCCTAGCTGAATTCGTCCTGGCATCGTCTGTTGTGCCACTCTGCCCACAGAGAGGTGTAAAATATGCCCAGGCGTTTGATTCAGAACACGAGTAAATGTGTTGTACAATCACCAATCCTGCGTTCATGGGAAAAGTCACGACTGTGATTTCAGCATGAGTATGTGTCTACGTAGATTTCTGATGAATGGCCATATTTTTTTTTTTTCCCTAATTGAAAGGCTATAATATCTGAGACATACTTGAAAAGATGAGGGAAAACATTGGGTTTTTTCTTCCACTCCTGTAACTTGGAATATGTTTAGCATAACTTCTCAGTCTTGTTCACTATTTGAAATAAATCTTACATAAAACTAGCAGGGGTTTTATATCTTTGCAGTTTTATTGTAGTAACACGTGAGATCCCCGAGATATTCAGAATCTGAATAAAATATTGCTGTCTTGCAAGTGCCTTCTATATCTTGCAGGGCTTTAAATAAGATTAGCAAGGAGTGTGAGGGGTTTTTTTGTTTCCATACAGAAACAAATAGATTCTTGAAAGTTCTGTGGCTTGAAGTAGAACTTGAATTAGAAGTGGAACAGAAATAAGCTGTAATATTTTAACATTAATTAAAGAATAGAGAATAGGAAAACTATGTACAGCAATAGTTTTGGAGCAAGATAACTGAATATTTAAATAGGAAATTAGTATTAAACTCAGCATTATACATAAAAATTACCATTGAGATTTCATAGTAATCCACATTAGTTTTATTTATAAGTTAAAACAATTTCCAACTGCATTTCAAAGAAACCCACCAAAACCTTTTCCAAAACATAACTTTCATGATACAATAGACTGCCATATTTCTACTTTTGTTGATGTGGTACTTGAGCCATGAAATGCTAAAATCTACACTTAAATGTTTTTATACTTACTCATGTATGGAACAGTTACATGGTATGTTACTCTACGCAGGTGAAAGTAGGACTGGAGGTCCTGGAGAACTGATATGAGGTAATGTCCTCCAGGCTAGAGAGTGGCAACCTTGAGAAAGAGTTTGTATCCTATGGCCTCTCTTGTAAGGCCTGCTTTGCTCTCCTGTAGTGCTTGGCCATCTTCTCCTGAGCCTTTTTTCAAGCTGGTCTCATTGTATCTATGCATTAAAGAAAGCTTTGAGGGGGACCTCAAATAGGCTGAATAGATCAACCTCTCTCGGTGTGGTTTGGAAATAGGCTGAATAGATCATAGAAAAAAGTGAGGGATTCTGCTTCACAATACTGGCTTTCCTTCAGACAGAGCAGGAATCGTGACAATAGCATTGGAAAACTACCTGCATTTAATTAAAACAGAAGGACAAGCTATCTGACTTGGAGTCGAATCTGACATTTGATCTTCTCATCCACAGAAGGTCGTTTGCTTTTGCACAATTAAATTTATTTTGCAATACCATAGCTTGAGAGGCTTTTCTGGGCTTTGTTTATCCTGACTTTAGAGAAGCAATCTGTGCTCTGTTTCTGATAAATTTCTCCTTGTGTTCAGTTATGACAGATATTCCTTTGAATTGACTGTATAAAAATACTATAGCAGCAGAGCAGAGCGAAGATCTAACTGTATTTACGTCTATATTCTGCCTTTAAACATGAACAGCTGTGCATACATTCATCTGTCTCGTGTCTGACTCTGTGCTGCCATCCAGAACCTTTTCCTTTTTAATAAACAAATGTTTCCTTCTTTAATCTGTGTGTGTGTGTTTTATCTCTGTTCCTGCAACAAAATTCTCTTGTCCACATATGTTTTTCAAATC